CTGCACGTGAGAATACAGCTAGTTAGCGCGTGGCCTCCCCTTGGCACTGCTGCCCCTCTTCCTCATCCTGAGTCTTCTCTTTCTCAGGGCCCTGCTGCCCCTCTGCCCCTTTCTGAGCCTTCTCTTTCTTCTGACAAGCTTGCAATATCTCGCGTGCCTCGTTGCTGCATTTCTTGAGCTCGGCTATCTCTGTCTTGTTCTGACGGCAATTGTCCATGAAGTCCCGGGCGGTGCGGCGGCACACGTCGGAGATTGTGAACGGGCCTCCCGCCTTTTTCTTATTAGGCGCCAAGCATTACTGGCGCTCCTTCTCGGCAGCCTCGGTGCACGCTTCGAGACCGACTATGTTGTCGCTCCGAAGACCCTTCTTGCAGTCTTGTAGAATCAGGTCAGCTGCATCAGCGCAAATCTTATTATCTTTCTGGTTAGCGCCTCCGTTCTGCTCATCAGCCTTGCCGGGCACTTTGTCTGCCTCCTGAGCCGTGACAGATTCGTTATCTGCATCCTGACCCGTGACGGACTCTTTGGTCGGGGTTTGCTGCCAATCCGTTAGCTAACGCCTGTCTAGGCCTTCAACCCCTAAGCCACATGTCACCGCGGCAAAGCTATGGCCCGCCCCAGTAACTAAATGACAATTATAGGGAAGCCTTCTTACCTTGTCTTCTCCAGGAGCCTGAGTTCCGGCCTGAGTTTGTGCTGGTACGCAAATCCATTCCTCCTAAATTCGCTTGTTAGAAGCATAGCTAATATATAATTAGGTTTTGTAAGTATAGTAATACTTACTACCTTCATATTTAAGTTCTTGCCCTTATTGATGCAACGATCACACTAGAATTAGATGCTTGTTAGCATACCTCACCTTAGCGTGCTTGTTCAAAGTAGGAACTATTACTTACGCCACCCTTCTGATATTCGCAAATACTATCCAGAAAAACAGGCTATGGACAACCGTTGTATTAGCAAGCCTGCGAGCTAAGAAATTTCTTGTGAAGAGCGCTTACTCCATCGCCCTATAAATGGTTTAATTAGCGCTGCCCATGCTATAAGACTATCAGACTTATTAGGGTATGGGTTCCTCCTTACCTTGAATTCTTCAACACTGCAATTAACCTCGGAATCTTCATCACTTGTCCCAAGCTAAAGTAGTCGCTATATTAGTATACTAATACCACGAACTACACTCGTCAACTTTTGGAGTCTGCTTACGCGCACACAGCCAACATAACGGTCCTTGAACTTCTGCGCGAAATCTGCCTTGCTCTAGGGTTTCCAGGTATGTTAGCGCTACACTAGAATATATATACGTTTTAAGTCTAGCAATTGTATTATAGCCAGCCACTTACTAGTACTTCGTTACTTTCAGGCGCTTGTGGCGCTTGTGGTCTAGCCGTAGCCAGTCCAAAAAGGAAAGCGAAAAAGGTAACTGTAGTCTTCATCTTAATAGCGCAAAAGAATATCCGGCCAGATAGATAATAAGTGAGTCTAGGCTAACGATTATATTGGCTTCTTTCTTAGCGAGTGAGCTGCTTGGACTTCCAAAAAAAAAAAAAAGAAACAGGAACTGGGCCGTGTGTCCCTTGATATAGAAAAGCGAAGCCCTCGAATCGAGGGCGGACCATCCGTACTTCTCCTTTCTTACCCACTTTAGCTGTGAAATTATGTATGCGGCTCTGAGTCACGGAAAAGGGACAGGTGTTGGGATATGTAACGTGCCTGTAGGTGTATAGGACAGTGTGCTGATGTGTACATGTATCCCACAAGTTAGGGAGCAAGCATTAACGTGCCTTAACAGTGGTGGCATGAGAGAGAGGCTATGCATACTAGTCATGATGAGATGGACGCGTACTGTACCATAACCAGTGCATAGCATAAACCGATCCCCTAAATCTAAAGTGCCCCAGGGATCAGAGCTCTACGTGCTTGGCACCCGAGGATAATTACGCACATTAAGCAGCCTTATAACCAGCACAGCTCGGTTAAATTCCACCATGTAGGCAGGGCAAGCTTCGCTAGAGCGTTCGCATCCATCCTATCTGCTAGAAGCATGAAGGGACGCATGTGGGATATTTCAGAAAGCTGGTCCGGTTATGCTCTTCTTGCCGGGCCGCCCTGGACGAAAGACATTGGCTACACGGGCCGGGGTCCATTGCATCCGATCAGATGCCTGCACACCAGGCCGAAGTAGCCTTAATGTCCTGTGCTCTTCTCGTTGGTCGGATCAATGTTGAGTCCCTGGATGGCTCTGCTCTGGGGTTCTGGTCCTGTCTTGGCCGGCCATTCTTGCAACAACCTACCTACATGTATGTTGGCACAGGTATTGCCCTCCGAGAACTTGCTTCTGCAACCACGGCAAGGGGAAATTGGGAGCCCCTTGCAAGTTGCCTCACATGTGCCGCCGGCAGTAACGCATAGGCCTTGCCTGTGGGCTGACTCCTCTATGCTTCTAGCGGGGACTACATGTACTGGATGGCATCAAGCAGTCCGGAGTGTGGCAATTTGCTGTGACGGCGGGAGGCCATTGTGTCGTTACTATGCCCCTACATGGCGGCCGGTAATGATGCCCTGGCGTGGCGCGTCCGAAGTAATGACGCGCGGCGCAGCGGGATCTCCGACAAGCGACAGCCGCGAGACACGACGCTGAATCGCCAATGCGCATATCGTCTGGAACTGACGCGGGCATGTCTGACTCAGACTGGGCAACATGGGCTGCATAAAGCTTGGATGGAATAGCAAGATGAAACAAGCACAGAGAGGAGAGCAGGGAGTTGCCAACTTGGCGCTGGAAAAGCTCTCCAGCGGGGGTTAGAAGCTGACCAGAGGGGACTGAAAGCTCTCCAGAGGGAGTGTGGCGTTTCCAAAGGGAGCAGGGAGCCAGTAGCAAGGGCTTAAGACAGTAGTGTGGATGCCTCAGGTATCCATTTCGTAGCAAGAAATTCCAAGTCCCTAAACCGCCACCAAAAAAATTTGATTCCTATCGCATTGGACTGGATTGGGGTGTCCAAGTCGACTTGCCGCCAGCCAAGTCCCTGAATGGATCGCTCCATCATACAGTCATTCTTTCTCGAGAAAGAAGACGTGACCGACCAGTAGGTTACTTAGCTGGTGCAAAACGAAGTTTGAATGTGTGCGGCATGGAGGCATAATCTAGTGTCGCAAATAATGCATGATCTTTGATGAGCCACATGAAACTACATGTTAATAATCCACCTGTGTACTTAAAACATCTGCGGGATAGGACCCCGCACCTAACTTCAATCAAGAACCACAACTGTTTCTCACCCATTTTTAAGCACG